ATCTATCTATCTATCTATCTATCTATCTATCTATCTATCTATCTATCATCTATTCCTCTATTCCCCCCTCTCTCTGCCTCTCTTTCTATATATCTTTCTCTCTCCATCTCTCCCTCCCTCTCTCTCTGCCTACCTATCTCTTTCTCATCTCTTTATCTCCATCTCTTTCTCTCTCTCTCTCTCTTCCCCCCCTCTCTATCTGTCCACATCTCTCTCTCTCTCTCTCCATTCATATAGCAATGGCAATAGCCCTACTGCTTCGCAGGGCTTTACAGCCCTCTCGAAGTGATTTTACAGAGTCAGCAACTTGCCTCCAACAACCTGGGTCCTCATTTTACCAACCTCGGAGGATGGAAGGCTGAGTCAACCTTGAGCCTGGTGAGATTCAACTGCCAAATGGCAGACAGCTGGCAGTCAGTAGAAGTAGCCTGCAGTACTGCACTCTAACCACTGTGCCACATGGCTCTATATACATATATACACACACATTGTTCCTGGGATCTACTGGAGCCACTGTCCAGCTTAAGAGTCACGGCCCTGAATGCTTGTGTGTGTGTGCATGTATGTGTGTGTGTGTGTGTATCTATATCTATATCTATATCCAGAGGTAGTATTCACAGGTTCTGACCAGTTCTGGAGAACCGGTAGCGGAAATTTTGAGTAGTTCAGAGAACTGGCAAATACCACCTCTGACTGGAGATTTTACAGTATCCTTCCCCTGCCACGCCCACCAAGCCACGTCCACAGAACCAGTAGTAAAAAATAAATTGAATCCCACCACTGTCTATATCTATATGTCTATGTCTATGTTTATATCTATATCTATATCTATCTATATATACGCACATTAACATATACACATATTAACATATGCATGTACATATACATCTGTCTATCTGTTCTATCTGTCTGTTCTGTTTGTCTGTCTATCTATCTATCTATCTATCTATCTATCTATCTATCTATCTATCTATGATGAAGCTAAGACATTAATGGCTAACACATTTGGTTATTGTGCTAATATAATTCATATCTGGGTACCAGATTTGTTAGCAGCTTGTCCCAGTACTTGAATCATCCAGTTTATCTGTCTTTGTTTTTTTAAGAAAAAAAAAAGAATAATTCTTGCAAATTGAAATGCTGGGCTCTGATTTTCAAAGCCCAGCATGAGCCTAAATCCAGTAGGTAAAAGATAGTTGCCAAGATGAAAAATTTGGAAGCAATTGAGATGATGAGCAAGAAATTTAATTTTGTCTTAAAATTGTGCAACTTCTGTATGGTTGCATTCGTGTTGGCGTGTTTCCAGGTGATTGGAGAATGGGCTGTTTATTCTTCAGAACGCTTTCTGTGCAGAGAGCTTAGAGGTGCCTCAAAGGCCGAGCAACTTTGGATTTGAACCTTTAATTTAAACAAACTCATCCTTTTTAATTGAAACTTTGAACCAAGCCACACTTCCAAATCTGAACTTCCAGTTGAAAACCTGGATCCAACACATATTTTATGGTGCACCCTCAAGAAGAACTTTGCCTCCACAATTATCAGGGAAACACTTTAAGTCAACGGACTCTTCAACGCACCCTTTGAATGTTGAAGTCATCTGAATAAGACTCAAGACTTCTAGAAGACACATCCACATTAAACATCCCTAACACAGATTAACAGAGTTGGAAGGGACCTTGTAGGCCATTTAGTCCAACTCCCTGCCCAAGCAGGAAACCCTACACCATTTCTGACCAATGGCAGTCCAGTCTCTTCTTGAAAACTTCCAGTGATGAAACTTCCACAACTTCTGAAGGCAACTTCTGTTCCGTGGGTTGATTGCTCTCACTGTCAGAAAGTTTCTCCTTATTTCCAGGTTGAATCTCTCCTGGATCAGTTTCCATCCATTATTCCTTGTTTGGCCTTCAGTGTGTCTTGGAAAATAGCTTGACCCTCTCCTCCTCTCTGTGGCAGCCCCTCAAATATAGGAAGACTGCTCTCCTGTCTCCCCTGGTCCTTCTCTTCCCTAGACTAGCCAGACCCAGGTCCTGCAACCGTTCTTCATATGTTTTAGCCTCCAGTCCCCTCATCATCCTGGTTGCTCTTCTGTGCAGTCTTTCCAAAGTCTTGACATCTTTTTTATAGTGTGGTGACCAAACCTGGATGCAGTACTGAAGGTGTGGTCTGGTTTTGTAGAGCACCCTTGAATTGCTTTGTGCATTTCTTTAATTATTTTGCACATATTTATTGTCAATTGGTTTGTCCATTCTGGATTTACTGAATAGATTTAGCACAAGCCTTCAGTCAAAGTCCTCCCTGAAACTGGATTTATTCCCACGATTATTTCAGAGTCTAACAATGTCTGAGGATTTAAGCCCAGGTGACAGCTAGTCCTCAACCTACAACCACAATTGAGCTTTATGTTGCTAAAGTGAGAAATGTGTGTGAAGCGAGCTTTGCCTCGTTTTGCGACTTTTCTAGCCACCTTTGTTAAGTGAATCACTGCAGTTCTTAACTTAGGAAGACGGTTGTTGAGTGAACCGGGCAGTGGTGGGATTCAAATTTTTTTTACTACCAGTTCTGTGGGTGTGGCTTGGTGGGCATGGTGTGGCTTGGTGGGCGTGGCTTGGTGGGCGTGGCTTGGTGCATGTGGCTTGGTGGGCATGGCAGGGGAAGGATATACTGCAAAATCTCCATTCCCTCCCCACCCCACTAACCTGCTTTCCAGCTCTCTTCTCCTGTGCAGGGCAACCAAAGGTGACCCAGCCGATCAGCTGGGACTCAATGGGAGGCAGAGAATAGATGGGGTTGGCAGGGCCAGTCAGAGGCGGGATTGGCCGGTTCCCCAAACTACTCCAAATTTCTGCTACCGGTTCTCCAGAACCGGTCTGAATCAGCTGAATACCACCTCTGGAACCAGGATTACCCACTGATTTTGTTTGTCAGGTTGCCAAAGGGGATGATGTGACTCCAGGACATAAATGGGACTCAGTTCTCAAAAGCATCTGCATGTAAATCACACGACCATGGTCATAAGTGTGAAAAACGATCATACGTCACTTTTCTCAGTGCTGATATAACTTCAAGCGGCCACTGAATGAACTGTTGTAAGTCAAGGAATACCCGTATTCCCCTCCCCCCCCCCATGGGATGACCTCTACACATGTCCATGCTTGGTCTGGTCGGAAAAAGGAAACGCAAAGCATCCCATTGCAAAAACCAATCAAGATCCAGCAGCTTAAAAAAAAAAAAGCTAAAAACAATCCATGGTTGTATAAACAGAGGCATAGAATCCAAATCACGTGATCATCATCATCATCATTTCATGACCCCATGACCCCTTGCGGAGTGAAGATTGTGCAAACTGAATGGAGCTCGCAGAGTGTTTTAATGGCCGGATGCCCTTCCTGTCACCAGTGCGGAGTTTTGTTCAGCAGATATATTCTCAATGTGCCCAGAGAGAGAAATATCTGTCTCTCCCAGAGGTGGTCTTCAGCAGGTTCTGACCAGTTCTGGAGAACCGGTAGTGGAAATTTTGAGTAGTTTGGAGAACCGGCAAACACCGCCTCTGACTGGAGATTTTACTGCTGCCACGCCCACCAAGCCACGCCCACAGAACCGGTAGTAAAAAAAATTGAATCCCACCACTGGTCTCTACCTAGAATTGAACTCACCACCTCCTGATTGTGAGGAGAGAGCTCCACCTCCAGGCCACCGCACCACTCCTTCATGCATGTAAAGTATTAGTAGTGCTTTGTAAAACCTTAGTAGGGCCTAGAATCCTGCATTCGTTTTTGGTCAATGCATTACAAAAAAGAGGTTGGGGCTTTGGGAAAAAATGCAGAGAAGAGCAACTAAGATGATCAAAGGCCAGGAGACTAAAATATATGAAGAATGGATGCAGGATTTAGGTTTGGCTAGTCTGGAGAAAAGAAGGACTAGGGGTGACATGATAGGAGTCTTCCAAAATTTGAGGGGCTGCCCCAAAGAAGAGAGGGTCAACTTATTTTCCAAAGCAGAGAAAGCAAGACAAGAAGCAATGGATGGAAACTAACCAAGGACAGAAGCAACCTGGAATTAAGGAGAAACTTCATAGAAGTAAGGACAATTAGCCAGTGGAACAGCTTGCCACCAGAAGTTGCGGGTGCTCCATCACTGGAGGTTTTCAAGAAGAGACTGGACAGCCACTTGTTTGAAACAGGAACTGGGCTTGTCTTGTCTAGTAAAGAGAAGGACCAGGGGAGACATGATAGCGGTCTTCCAATATTTGTGGGGCTGCCACAGGGAGGAAGGGGGTCAACCTATTTTCCAATGCACCGGAAGGCCAGACAAGGAATAATGGATGGAAACTGAACAAGGAGAGATTCAACCTGGAAATAAGGAGAAACTTTCTGACAGTGAGAACAATCAACCAACGGAACCCCTTGCCCTCGGGAGGTGTGGGAGCTTCATCACTTGAGACCTTCAAGAAGAGGTTGGACTGCCATTTGTCAGAAATGGTGTAGGGTCTCCTGCTTGGGCGGGAGGTTGGACTAGATGACCTATAAAGTCCCTTCCAACTCTGATTATCTGTTATCTGAAACAGTATAGGTTCTCCTGCTTGAACAGGGGGTTGGACTAGAAGGCCTTCAAGGCCCCCTTCCACCTCTATATCTGATTAGAAACCTGTTTATCTCCAGCAAAATAGGGAGACCTTCAAAAAGCTAGTTTGTTTTTTCTTGAAACAAATGGGGAAAGAAACAGCTTGCGTGCCAGCACGGTTAAAAAAAACCCCCAACAACCCACAACCCAACGGTTTGAGCCTGCCTGCGTTTCCTTCCAGAGCTGTAGGTGTCAGTATAAACATGGCTTTGAGGTCAGCGCATTCTGGGATGTGGTTCCAACCCATTGAGCTGTCCATATTATTGAAGGAGTCGGGGCGTTCAGATGTTCAGCATGCAGGGGAGGTTGTCTGCTCGGCTGTTTGAAGCTTTGGCAGCAGCCGATGACATCTGGTGACTAATGGGCTCAGATGTGAAAGCTGTTCCCACAATGCTCTGGGCGGCAGCTGCTCCGAAGCCACAGAAAGAAGCTAGAAACAAGGAAGAGAGGATCTGTTGAGGGGGAAGGAGAGGGGAAGGGAAGGGAAGGGGGAGGGAGTGAAACCACCCTACACAAATCAATATTCCTCCTGATTTTCTGAGGAAGTCAAACATGGCCTCCACTGCAGATCAGTTCTGCCGTTTGGGCATTGCCTCTTCAATGGAAAATGTCCATCCTGCTGTTCTGAAATGCCACCCCCCCTTCTATCTCTCTTTCTCTCTCTCTCTCTCTCTCCCTTTTCTCTCTCCCTTTCTCTCTCTTGCCTCTCTTTTTTCTCCCTTTTCTCCCCCTTCTCATTTTCTCTTCTCTCTTTTTCTTCTCTCTCTTCTTGCTCTCTTCTCTCTCCTCCCTCCCTCTCCTCTCTTTCTTTTGTCTCTCTTTTCTCTCTCTCTTTTCTCTCCCCTCTCTTCTTCTCTTTTCTCTCTCTTCTGTTTTCTTTCTCTCTCTTCTCTTTTTCTTTCTTTTCTCTCTCTCTCCTCTCTTTCTCTCTCTCTTTCTTTGTTTCTCTTTCTCTGTCCTCTCTCTCTCTTCCTTCTCTTTCCCCCTCTTCCTCTCTCTCTCCTCTCTCTTTCTCTCTCTTTTCTTTCTTTTTCTCTCTCCTCTTCCTTCCTTCCTTCCTTCCTTCCTTCCTTCCTTCCTTCCTTCCTTCCTTCCTTCCTTCCTTCCTTCCTTCCTTTCTTTCTTTCTTTCTTTCTTTCTTTCTTTCTTTCTTTCTTTCTT